GTTGCGCACATTGAACAGCTGTTGTGCGGGTTCCTATTTTGAGGGTTCCTTTTTTTTAAGACACGCACACACCAATCAAGGTGGAGAGGCGAGGGTAATTAACAAATGTGCTCCACACAACTGTAGATCGCTCCTTCAATATAATACATATATAATAATAATAATAATAATAATAATAATAATAATAATAATAATAATACTAATAATAATAATAATAATAAATAATAATAGTAATAATAATAATAATAAATAAATAAATAAATAATAAATAAAAATAATAATAATAATAATAATAATAATAATAATAAATAATAAATAATAAATAATAATAATAATAATAATAATAATAATAATAATAATAATAATAATAATAATAATAATAAATAAAAATAATAATAATAATAATACTAATAATAATAATAATAAAAAAAATAAATAGTAAATAATAATAATAATAACAATAATAAATAAATAAATAATAAATAAAAATAATAATAATAATAATAATACTACTACTAATAATAATAATAATAATATTTTTTATAATAATAATAATAATAATAATAATAATAATAATAATAATAATATATAATATATATAATATTATTTATGTATATAAAGGAAACTTGGGCAACGACAGCTTCTTTAAATTGCCCCTCCCTCCCAAAAGGAAGAGGACAACTCCGCTGTAACCAACTAAAAAGGTGAAATATAGGACCGCACTCTTGCAGTTTGGGATGATTACCGAAATCCGGGTGGAAGCACCAGCCTGATTTAAAGCCAGGTCCTACCAGCAGGTCCTTTGACCACCGCCGCACTGACGGTCCGAAGCAAAAGCGCAAAACTAGTTTGCGGTCAATGACTCTTGGTCCTACAACACGGTTATACAGTTACAAAGGTTCGTATAGCGCTTACTACAGTGGATGGACGAAAACCATTTCGCACCACCTAAGGAACCCTGGTTTCTGATGAGTCCCCTGTAAATACCAACAAACAATGGTTTCCCATGGTTTCACACGTGGTTCAGGATTCCATCCATCCACAGTATGTGGGTACGGGTCCAAATTCAACTACCAGGGGGCAAGTTTTAGTCCTTGGTTCCATTTATCAGGGCAAGCCATTTCGGCAACTTACCCTACTTTTTACCACAGCCATATCTCCAAATAAACCAGGTCTAGGTCTCGCTTCCTGAGTGGTAAAACAAGTCCTCACACTCTTTGTCCATGAACTCGGAGGCTAGTCCCCCGCATCCTTGTGTGTGTGTGTGTGTTTTTTTACAGGACTTTTTGGGCATCAGAATTCGGGTCCCAACCGCCATATCTCCGAGTAAACCAAGCACCCTCCCACCCTTTTCACATGGAACCTTTCGCCGTTCGGGGGGTCTTGGTTTGGACCATGTTCCGTTTAAAGGGACAGGGCCCCCAACGTCGAACGGCTCCATGTGAAAAGGGCGGGAGGGTAGACTCTACCCTGAAGAAACCAGAATTTCGGGTCCCAAACACAGCCATATTATAAACCAGGTAGATTCTACCCAATCACAACCACCCAACCACCGGATTCTACCCCAAACCAAAATCCCCCTAACCCCCCGCAACCCCCTGTGGCCCAGTGGCCGATGTAGTAAGCTCTGCCCGGAAAGCGCCGATCCTGGAGGCTCTGAGCACCTCGGGGTCAAGGCGCGAAAACCTCCTCTCGCCGGGTCTGAAAAAAATCGGGGACCCCTACTGTGGTGAGCACCTCACGGATTGTGTTTTCTCCTCTCGCCGGATCTGAAAAAAATGGCTGTGGATGGTTGCGACATCCACGTCCACCTGAAAAAAACCCGACGGAATGATAGGATTCCCCTGAACAAATACCAACAAACGCGATGGTTTCAACCATGGTTTCATGGTGGTGCAGACGGATCTCGCAACCATCCACAGCATGTCAGCGGGTTGCTTTGCTTCGCCCAACATTTGGCCCTCTTGAGACATACCCAAATGAAATGGTGTGTCCTAAGGCTACCCTTTTGGGGTGGTTATACAAGGAAACAAGAAGGAACTCCATTGGGTTCAGTGACAATCAAAGTCACCGGGGAACAGAGTATAGTTTGTTAGGCGCTTCCTTCAAACTCATCTTCCCAGGGTCAAAAAGTTCAAAAACATAGCTTCGGAGTCAGTCTTCTGAGGCTCAAAGAACACGGAACAAACCAAAAGCTGAATTCACCAACTCCAAGGAAATTGACTTGCTGGGGCGGGGGAGCTGCCGACCTCAGGCCGGGGTGAAAGTAGACGGCAAAGAGGGTGATCAAATCCAAATAGGAACTAGGTCCTCCAGTAGAGAGGTTAGAATAAGGGTACCCTTCTTTTTGTAGCCTATTTTAGTACCCTTCCCCAAAAAAGGTAAAAGGGCACTACTGGGGGACCTAGAGAAGGTTGTGTTATCTCCTTTCAGACATCGAGTCGCTGCACAATCCCCGTGGCCCATGCTGAAAGCGGACTGACCATGGCACAACTAGCTTCAAAGAAGCCACAGCTGTAGCTTGCTTGTAACAAACAGCCGTTTCACATTCCGACCTTTCACAATGCAGGTGATTTGTTTCCCTTGACTTAGTACAAGTGGCTAAATAATTACCATTCGCGGAGAAAAAAAAGAGAAAAGAAAATCACATACACTAGTCTCTTATGATCACGAATCAATCTGATGTTCAAGCACCCCACTCCAACTATCTAGGTTCATATCTTACATGCTTTACGCAATTAAACTTTGGATGTGCACTTTGTCGGCCCCACATGTTTCAAAGGATACCATCCTTGCGCGAGAATGAACATCAGCATTTGCGCGTGTGAGGACAGCAGCAAACAACACTTGGTGTGCAGGAAGTTGAGCAAATTCAACATGTAGTAGCTGACCTGGATTCAAAGCTCGTGTTGGGGGCATCTGTGGCGAAGGCAGATTTAACATGCAAACAAAACACGTTTGGGGCTTCTCGCCCTCTTCATGTTGCTAGGTAACTCAGGGCAGTCATCTAACATAATTCATCAAATATGTCCGCAACTAAGCGGCACCCAAAGTCCATTGACGCTTGGTTCTACCACCATGGCTGCAAAGGCCGCTGTCAATGTAGGCCTCAATATGAACGCCATAAAAAGTGTAGTAGAACGGCCTGCTACATGGGCCAATAGGAATCGCTGGCCGAGATCAGCACTTGCGTCGATATTGCTGAAAGGCTCCAGGATGGCTTTGTGCAATCGTAGCCTGGGCGATCGCAACGGGTTCCTTCTCTTGAAACCGAACAAGCCCCCTATCGCCCCGATCAATAATGTTGGACTGTGAAAGGTATTTTCGAGCGGGCACTCAACAAGTGTTGCTTTGGGTCTGGGGATTGCAGTGTGAGCTGAGGATCCCGGAACTTCTCTAGACGCCGTGACCCGTGGTTTCGCAAGGCATTTGAAATGCTCCAGCAGGCAATGCGCCGCCCAAGCCGAGCCACGACCTTTTTGTTCTTCGCGGGACAATCTGACTTTGACCGATCCTGGAAGATCGGACTCCTTTGCAGGTTGCCTCAAGGAAACCCGACCATGTCCATAACTTGTGCATGGGTGTCTCACAGGGGTGCATATGCTTCCCATGGTTTTCTTTCAAAGGGATCAAGGGGACCCGGCTTTGAGACATATTGGCCCAGATGTAAGCGGTCATCCCCGCTTCCGCACTTGAGTGCAGTCTACCGAGCCAGCTGAGATCTCGGCCAGAAACCTGGGGTACTCCTCCAAAATATAACCCAGAAACCGGCAAAAGGTGATGTGAGCTCATGGGTCAACAAAAAGGAACATGCCCACAAGCAAATCAAGAGCTAAGTCGAGAATGGGCGAGTGTTCGTGAACATCCTATGCCCAAGCCTGTAAGCAACAGAAAATGGATTCAATTCCTGAGTGCATTGGCAGCGTTGCTGTTTGTTTACCACTAAAAGGGTCTTTCCAACAGTGTAGAGTCCAGGAATTCGGGTAGTAAGTGGATCACAGAAAAAACGCACGTCTTGAGATTCGCCAAGTGGACAACCCACACTTTCGTCCTGAGGCCATGTCATCTTGGAATGAGCCAGGAATCTGTGCAAACAGTGTTGGTGGGGTAGGGGGCTTGTTGTGTCGATGTAAGGGGCAGGTCTGCTGGACCTGCTTGCGTCAAGGAAACTCCGCTCGCTGTATCCTGCTGAAAGGGTCCCGGTTCTCAAGCAAGTCATCTACGAATGTTTTGTGCCCCAAGTAGGTCTGACCACAGAAAGGTCAGTATGTGTCGCCGGTCCATCTGCGCGGTTCTTGAAACGCGGAACCGGGCGGGGCAGACTCAAACCCCCACCGGGGCTGAGAGAAGACCTCGCAAAATCTCGGTGCGCATTCATAGCGCCTTCGGGTTCTCAGGGGAAAACGGTACCCTCAAAAAACACGCTCATATGACTCAGATGTCAAAGCGCGAGACAAATCCAATGCGAGGATGGTGAGACTGCGGCGTAAAGCATTGTACGCCCTACTCTCAGTTGAGGGAGCTGTTCAAGGCATGGATGGCCCGCAAGCAACGCATCATATCACACATGTGACATCGACAGGAGGGCCAGTTCATGCCTCAGGATTTTGAAGACCATTGGCTCACATCCGGGTCGACCAGTGGCAAGGTGGAATTGGGCGAATTGCCCTCTCAATTCTTGCTGTTGGGGTTTGCCGTGAAGAAACTGAAAGCATCGTTTTGATTCAAATGGCTAGGTTCACGGAGAACATGTTTGGCGGAAGGCTTTAACATGGCCTCAATCACCCGCCCGCCGTCTGACCGGCGGGCTTCGGCCCAAAGGTTGTGCAGGGATTGGTGGAACAAAAAGAGGCCCTGTAACGGGGCTCCGCATTGCAGAAGCGATTCTACACTCACAAACCCACACCATTCTAACCAAATCTGACCCAGGAACATATGGGTATCTATCCATGTTATGTATACCATCTGACCCATGAGGGTAAACGTGGGTACGTGTTTTC